ACGACTCCGTCAGAACCTTTCTGTCACACATTGACAATGATCTGACAGAAAAAAGGAAGGAATAACCACTTTATCATCAGCACTAAAATCGCCCAAATAAACCACTATGCAAAAGCTGCATCGGCAGTTATTGAAAAGGTGACGCTCAAATCGAACTTAAGTGTAGTGCTGGTCCTAGAACTCTGGATACACAGACAATTTGTGATGTAAGATGTAACAAACCAAGAGTCTGCAATTTATTGAACATTAAAATCAACTTTATCTATCTTTCAGAATTTCTGTCCAGGAACCTCATTGCTATATAAATTTTGTTTGAGAAATATGTAATGTAGGCAATACACCAACATTTGTATCTAACTCACGCAAAGAGCTCCTAGATATTACTGTAGAAAATACTCGAGAGTATACAGTGAACCATCTATGTCTAATCATAGAATCCTAAGGTTCGACATTACGAAGATAAAGCCAGATGATGAAGAGGTGGCCATCCGGTCCATACGTAAAACTAAGAGTGGGGCTGTACTTTTAGAACTAGGAAAAGGTGGTAAAAAAAACGACTTTTATGCCGAATTAAAAGGAACAATGGGAGAGGTAGCAAAGGTAACTGAATTGAAACCCCGTGCAAAAATAGAAATCCGCGACTTGGATAGCCTTACAACAGATGATGAGGTAAGAGCGGCAGTAAGAATTGCACTCCAAGAACCCACGGAGCAAATGGATGTAAAAATTTCTGGTGCAAATACCAGAGAACAACGGAGAGCCTATGTATGCATATCAAGCCAAGCAGCTAAAACACTTCAAAAGACGGAACGTATTCGTATGGGCTTAGTAAGATGCAGAATAAAACTCTTGCAAGATGTAGAACGCTGTTACAGATGCTTTGAAACAGGACATCTTCAATACAATTGCAAAGGACCTGACAGAAAAGGTCAAGGCCTATGCATTCGATGCGGAGAAAGTGGACACAAGCTGAAAGAGTGCACAAGGCCGCCAAAATGCTGCATTTGCGCAAGTAAAGGATGCATCAAGGTGGACCACATACCGGGTTCCCATAAATGTGAAGCCAGCAAAAGAATATGAGAATACTCCAAGCAAATATGCATAGGAGCAAGACGGCTGACGCTCTGCTCTCCCAATTAGTTCTAGAACGAAAAATCGACGTCGTCATCATAAGCGAGCAATACAAGAAAAGTAGTAGCACAGGATGGTATGAGGACCACACTGGAACTGCAGCTATCTGGACGCCATCAAAAGGAACACTTAACGCTGTGAATAATGGAAGCGGGGAAGGTTTTGTATGGGTGAGGACAAATGACTACACTGTTATAAGCTGCTATCTAACACCCAATGACACTATTGGTGAATTTGAAAACAAACTCCATAATATAGAAGATAAGGCTAGAGAAATCGGAGGCTCCCTAATTATTGTAGGGGACTTCAACTCTAAAGCAATCGAATGGGGTTCCACGACGACAAACTCACGCGGTCGACGAGTACTTGACATGGTGTCTAGATTGGGGCTTACAGTAGCAAACTTAAGTTTCGCTACAACATTCAGAAGACCCAGATGTGAAGCCACAACTCCAGATATAACACTTGTGTCGGATATGTTTTCAGGAGCACTCAGAGACTGGAAAGTGCTGGAGGATTATACCGGCAGCGATCACCAATATATTGAATTCAAGATTACACTGCGGGATAGCGCTGCAACAGATTACCAACCTAGCGGTACGCGGAAATGGAGGGTGGACTGTTTAGATGTACTATCTCTACTTGCTGCTATAGACAGCAGGGTTGCAGATAGAGATCCCTTACTAAACTCGACCACACTAACAGTATACACCATGAATAGCATTCTACAAGCTTGTAATGTTTCCATGCCAAAAGTGAGAAGATCAACCCGAAAGAAAGCCGCATACTGGTGGACCAGAGGACCAGAGAAGCCGCATACTGGAGGTGCAGGCGAAAGCTGACCAGAGCCCGGAGAAGAAGTACTGCTGAAATAGAGGAGGTGGAGTTTAAAATAGCTAAGAAAAATTTGAAAGAAGCCATAAAACAAAGCAAAAAGGCGAAGTGGGAAGAACTAAGAGAAGATATAAACAACAATCCATGGGGCACCGGATACAAGATTGTAACTAAAAAGCTGGGTGCCAGACAACCCACCCCGTCACTAGGAAGCGAAAAAATGAAGGAAATAGTTGACACATTATTCCCGACACATGAGGTGCTCCCAAGCAGATCAGATGATCTCCTGAGAGAAATGCCGCCAATATTTACTCTACAAGAGCTTTTTGCAGCTGCTAGCGCGCTAAAAAATAATAAAGCTCCGGGGCCAGATGGAATACCGGCTGAGATACTAAAAGTGATTGCTAATGAACGACCACATGTACTACTAAAAATGTACAATGCTTGTTTAATGGAAGGCAACTTTCCGGAAATTTGGAAGAAACAGAAACTAACTTTAATTAGTAAGGGTAAAGGCGACCCAGAACGTGCTGAAGCATACCGACCACTCTGCATGCTCGACACCGCTGGAAAACTCCTTGAAAGACTGATCAAGCCTCGACTTACAACAGCAATCGAATCAGCAGGTGGCTTGTCACCGAGACAGCACGGTTTCAGGACAGGACGCTGCACGCTAGGTGCAATAGAAGATATAATTACGGCAGTAAAGACTGCACAGACTGGTAACCACTATTCGAGAAACATTGTCTTGCTTGCAACACTTGACGTACGAAACGCGTTCAATAGTGTAAGATGGGCTGATATTCTCAATACACTGGAAAACAAGTTTAGAGTACCACGCTACCTGATGGATATAATAGCTATTTGAAAAATCGCGTGCTAGTCTACGACACTCACGATGGACCAAAAGAAAAACAAATCACATCAGGAGCAGCGCAAGGATCAGTTCTCGGACCTGAGCTGTGGAATGATAATTACAATGGCATCTTAGAGCTGGAAATGCCGGAGGATACACATCTGGTGGCATTTGCAGATGATGTTGCAGCAGTGATAAAGGCAAGAAATATAGAAGAAGCGCAACGAAAGCTAACCATGGTAATGATACGAACACAGGAATGGTTAGAGGATCACGGACTCAAACTCGCCGCGGAGAAAACAGAGTTGATCTTTCTCACAAGAAAGCATATACAGCTAGAAGTTGAAATGCGAGAATGCGACAAAACTTTAATGTCGCAAAAAACAGTCAAATATTTAGGCCTTCGACTGGATTCCAGACTAACATTCTGGGCTCAGATTGAGGAAGCGGCATCTAAAGCGGGAAAAGCTACAGCAGCATTGAGCAGACTTATGGCAAACATAAGGGGACCCACACAGAGTAAAAGACAGCTCCTCATGGCTACGGTAAATTCCATTCTTCTATACGGAAGCGAAATATGGGCAGACGCACTACAAGCAAAATACCGAAGAAGAGCGTTAGCGTCAGTGCAGCGAACAGCAGCTCTGAGGATATGCTCAGCGTATCGCACCGTTTCAGAAGCAGCGGTTCTCGTGATTACTGGAAATATTCCTATTGACCTACAGGCTCAAGAGCGAAAAACATGTTGGCAGGCAAAACGAATGGGAAACAACAACACCGGCAAGCAGTTGGTAAGACGCAGAACTATTGCAGTATGGCAGCAACGCTGGAACTCAGATAACCGTGGACGATGGACTGCAAGGCTTATCCCAGATCTAAAAACCTGGCTAGCAAGAGACTTTGGCGAGGTTAACTACTACCTCACTCAGTTTCTGTCGGGACATGGATACTTTAACAGCTATCTCTATCGCATGCGCAAAGTAGAGTCACCAAATTGCATATATTGCGGAGCGGAGGATGATACCGCAGAACACACTTTCTTTGAGTGCAATAAGTGGTTGCCCGAACGAGAAGCACTTGCAATGCAAGTTGGTACCTTCACTCCCAGGACGGTATCGGGAAAAATGATCGAAAACATAACAAACTGGGATCGCGTAAAAATGTTTGCTGAAAAGATCCTGAGATTGAAAAAAGTAGACCTTGACAGAAGACAGCTGGAGTAAAACAGATGAATCACACAAAGACGAAGGATAAGGTTAATCACCTTCAGCAGATGCGGGGCTGATAAGGAGATAAGGAGATGCAGGACGCAGGTCACACCGATGGAAGTCTTAGATGACTAATAGAGACCCTACCTTGAAGTAATACTAACGTAGTCCCGGGGTAGGACAAGGTCTTTAGGAATGAGGGGGAGTTGGTTTAGTCCGTGCAAGTCGGACACTCACTTTCCAGGCCGCCGGATTGTGGTCAGTGCGCAGGCATTCCACTCCTCCTTGCCGCAACCAAAAAAAAAAAAAAAAAAAAAAGGTTCGACATTGATTATCAAAAACATGCGAAGAAATTCAAGAACAACAAATTAAAAAGCCTATAGGGAAAATCTATATGCAATTTTGTTCAATTAGGACTAGAAGATAACCTAGAAAACCTCAATGGTGCTATATTATATGCATATGAGGATAGCTCTCTCAATTAAGCTCGACTTATTCTACCAAGAATGTGCATTGGTGGAGCAATGCCCTAAAAAATCTAAGAAACACTGTCAGAGGACTATTTAACTAATCAAAACAAAGAGGATATTATTCAGAATATAAGTAACAGCTTACTCTGTATAATAGAGAGAATAGGTCCTCAAAACGCTGAAGCTTCCGAAAACTCTGCGAAAGTATAAAAAGCACAAGGATACCTCCCTTGCTATACAAGGTGCTTTCAAAAGGCAGTAGCCTTACTTTCACCAATCTCAAGCGAGAAGATGGAGGTTTCACCGAAGGTGAAGAGTAAAAGGTACGACTGCTTCGTCACCAACTAAATAACACGATTCAGGATAGCATAGACAAGACAGCATAGCAACTTACACTTTCTTAGACATTGAAGGACCCTTTGATAATACTTCAGAGATATCAATGACACACTTTCACACTGGATGACCAACATGCTTCGCACCAGGAGAGCAGAAATTTCAAGCAGTACTGGCAATGTTTTTGCAAGTGGAATATTATCACTTCTAATGTGGAGTATGAAGTAGATGATCTATTGGTAAAACTGGATAGGAATGGGTTCTAGGTTCAGGGTTACGCCGATGATGTTGTAATAATCTGCAGAGAAAAATTTGAACATACTCTGTGCGAGAGGATCCACTTAGGTTTAACACTAACAAAAGAATGGTGCAATTCAGTTGGGCTGAAAATAAATCCAGCAAAAACAACCAATTCTTTATTTACAAAAAAATGCAAAGTAAAACATTTTAAATCCATTCGCTTAGATAGTTAGAAATAAAACCAGAAAAGAAGGAAAATTTTTTGGGTATAATCTTTGACCAAAAATTACAATGGAAATATCATATCTAAGAAGTCAGAAAAAACGCAAGCATTGGAAATGCATCTACAAAGATTAAAATAAAGGCATCGATCAAATCTCGTTTTACCACTTTTCAACTTCTATTGACATTCTTTATAACATTGCATATTGTTTATTAAGCGGATTCTAAAACAATAATCTTAACTTAAAATTTACCACCAAATAATTACTTTGCTGTCAAACAATTTGACAAATAAAATCATATTGATCTACTGCTGGGCAACGAAACTTGTTTAGTGTCCTATTAGTAGATCAAATAAAATATGGAATTGGATTACTAATAGGCCTTTTCTTTTGTAAGCATATGAAACAACAACACGGCTGGCTTATTTAGTCCAACCTTTTTCAAACTGTTTAAATAATAAGCAGTTCATTCCTCTCCCCATGATTACTGGAATGAGTTTCCACATTGCTGTGGAAATCTTCTCCTTTCATTCTTAAGAGGTAGTTTTAGTGGGTTCAAAAAAAAAAAAACAAATGCATGGTGGCCAAAACTAAAAATTCGTCTATTGTGAATGATTTTTGACGTACGTGCTAAATTTTTAGTTAACTGTCAACAAATATTTGACACATAGTACTCAATTTTTTTAATTTAAAGAATTATTATTCATTTTCGAAACTCTAACTTTAAATTTTACTACGTGTTTATGGACCTCATTATTATAGTCCATATTACTGAGTATTG